GAAAGAGCCCCCCCATCCTGACTTGTGCATCTGCCTCCTGGGACTACACTGGGAGAGTTAGGCTGTAGGATTTCAATTTTATTTATTGTTAAATATTTCTCTAGTGTTGGTTTTGGTTTTTTTTTCTTCCTCCACCCTCTCTCACCTCTCACCTGTCTCCTTCCTCAGACTCTCATTTCTAGTTTGCTCATCAAGGCATGATGAGCACTTTTCTTGTTTAATCCCACATGATTTGACCTTCTTGCCTCAGTTCTTACTTGAGTCTTTTTCTTCATTTCTCTTTCTTCACTGTTCACTCCACAGTATCCCAAGCCATGATGGACTATTCTAAACTCACTCCCTCCTTGAGTAGGTGCCAGGAGAGAGGAAAAACTGAGGGAATGCCTTGGGTCTGAGCAACTTCTTTTGAGCTAGAAGGGTGACTGTCAGAAGGAGCTGTAGATCCAGAGAGGAACAAGGGTGACTCCTCTTTTTAAGACTTCTCCAGAAAAAAAGAACCATTTCTGCTGACACTGCTGTTACCCTGTGTCCTTGAAAGCCGTAAAACGTGTGACAATGAATTTCTCTGGTTCCCTAGGGGAGGGAGAGGAGGAGTTGGGATTTCAGAGCTGAGAAACAGCTGTGTAGACAGCGAGGTTGGTTTTTCATCTCTTGCCATTTAGGTTCCTTTGGTTTCAGGGCTGCATTGTGGTATACAGAAAGCAAGACAGCAGCTGAGGGATCTGAATTCCTTCAGTTGCTGTATTCAGAATGTCTAACTTCAGGCACAAAATTGAGGTGCTCTAAAACTACACCTGCTTTCTCTCTCTTGGCCTCAGTAGGAGTCACAGCCTCTTAACATAGATGCTCTAGATTACATCTTAGTCTGAAGCCAAAAGTTACCTAAGCTGGTTAGTGGGATCGCCCTCACCTCACAGCTTCTCCTGTTAATCTTTATTCTGGCATTAGAAAGAAAAATATTATGAACACTTCAGTTTATGTATTTGCAGTATGGTACTAAGAACTAAAATCATGCCAAATGCTTCTTGTTCTTGCTGTTTATTTTTCTGTTGCCCACACAAAGAATTCAGTTGTGAGGACATTTCTGCAGTGACACATGTGCATCTAATGCATGTCCTGTACATTTTGTCAACAGAACATTTCTCAGATGCCTGATGTAAATCATCATCCTTGATTAATATAAATAATAAAATAAAATCCCAAACCAAAAAAGGAAGATGAGACACTGAACACTGATAGCTGCCCACATAAAACTCTTGATAACAACTGTCAGGCTGTGTGACAGAGCAGACCCGTACAGCAGTTCTTGTGGTAATAGCTCAGCAGTGGGGCTTGAATTACTCATCAAAGGATTTGTCCTTTCAGCAGTCAGTTTGGCTCAGTTGAAATGAAAGAGCCAGAACGTGCAGTATAGATATTTCATGGATGTTATCTTTGCTAAGAGTTTAGGGAGATCTGTGATATGTGGGTTTCTTTCTTCAGCAGAATGTGAATACAGTGTCTCTCTCTGTAATGAAAATGTGAATGCATACTGTACCTTATGAGACAAACTTGAATTCTTCCATTTATGTATTTTTGTGTTTACCATGCTAATATTCAGTTTTAAATAGATGCCACTGTGTAAAGCTATGCTCTTGATTTTTTGGTGATTTCCATGTGATTGGAATAGAGCTCATAGGCAACACTATGTCCAGTTTTGAAAACAAAAAGCCAGTATACAGAATGCTGTTTGTTCACAGCAAATTGGAAAATACAGAAAAAAAAGAGCTTTTGATTTTGTTCAGCTTCATATATGTTTTATCAATGAAGTCAGAGCCAAATTAATAGAAAACATGAACATCCACATGGAGCCATTTGAGGAAAATAATTTACTCTTTAAGATTGTCTATTTTTGCTTTTATCAATAAGGAAGCTGAAAAGATAAGCCTGCTTAAACAATGGTATTTGTTAAGTGATTGTGAACAAAGTATCAGTGGACCTCATGTATTTCCAGAGAAGTTTTAACTGGACGTGTGATGTAAATTGTATGGAGTTGTATGTGAATGTGTTAGTCACTGTTTTACATTGTATTGTTCTGCAGTGCACAAATGTGACTACTGAGCACAGAAGCATTACATTCATTAAACTTAATCTTGTTGCAGTATATAATTCCCCACTTTTTGTGCCAAAAACATTAATACATTCCATTAATCAGTTCTAATAGAGGTTTGCACTTTGATTTAACTTTTTTTTGTGACTCTTGCAGTTTCAATACTATATATCTCCATCACGAAGGAATAAAGTGTCAGTTGTACCATACCCTGTTTAGTTTGTGCTTCTTGTTTTGGAACTGAAGGTATATGTATTTAATTTAGTACTGTTTCATGCTGTCTTTTTATTTCCAAGCTTATTACATACCTAGAAGTAAAGCCAATTATAGACACTAGCACTAAAACCCTTAATTGTGTTAGGGGAAAATCTTGACTCTTTAAAAAGAAATTATAATTTTAGACTCTACATTTAAGAGTAATGTGTAGAGAGGAGATACTGCCTGTGAGTGGTCCTGGTGCTGTCCAAGGTAACAAAACAGATGTTAGCATAGTACAGTATGTTTCTCTGTGGTGCCTGCACTTACTGTAACTTACAGAAGGTGAAACTGCAAAGGTTTGGTGGCATTCCCATTATGGTTAAATTATTCACACAGCTCCTGTGTCTTTCCTCCCCCACAATCCCAGGAGAGGCGACTGCACTGCAGACACTGCTTTGAGGTAACCTGACAGATAATTGCATGTGTGACATCTAAACGCTTCTGCTGAGTGCTGCAGCCTGCTCCTGGGGCTGCTCTGTGCTGGCACCCTTGGCTCTGGTGCCCGAGGTTTCAGCGCTGGGATCCAGGAGCCGGGAGCCCCTGCAGTCACGCCGGGCTCCCCGGGCGTGTGTGCCAGGGCTCGTGGGCCATCAGTGCCATCTCCTGGAGCCCGGGGGTCAGTGCTCCAAGGCCTCAGTGCTGTTCTTTCAGCTTCTTAAGAAACCTAAGATAATTTAACAGAGTAGGAATTTCTTAATAAACTGTAGCAAAATAATTACATCACTTTCAGACTGTATTTTGCTAGTATAATAGGACTTTAAATAAACCATAATCTATTGTTCTCCTTGCCAGAGAAGTATGGACAAAGGATCTAAATACAGCCTTTATACTGATTTTACAACGTTAGTTAAAAGTATTATTTTTAACTAATATATTTAAATCAGTGCTGTGCCTAATGTGAATACATTTAGTGTGATGCAATTAATATTTTAACTACTTCATTTACATGTGTACCTGTGTCTACAGGAGAGAGTTGGTACCAATTTACTTGAATTTGTTTCTTAATGGCAGTGATTAAAAATTAGAAGAAGTTTCTCATGGAATATCAAACCTGAAAAAAGCAAAATCATAGTAATTTAACAAGGAGTGTTCTTTGCAAAACTTAGTTGTAGGATATTACTTCAAGTAGAGATTTCTACATTTGAGTGTAGAGAGTCAGTCCCCACTCTAAGTACATGCTGCTCCAAAAAATCAGTCACTGTCTGCTGCATCATAAAGCCCAGACATTCTGATGCTCTCAACAACCTCACCCCCAAAATTCATGACCTGTAGGTTTATTGCTGTGGTTTAGTAGCAGAAACATGCCTTTGGTTGCTGCAGGTAGCTGTTGAGTTTGGGAAGGGCCCTCGACCTGTAACTAAACCAAACTCCTTCCCTTCTCTCTGTCTGTAGAAACCTCTGGGTTGTAAACAGTTTTCAAAATTTATTTTGGAAATGTAGTCTAGAAATTCATACTAGATGGACACTACATATGTATACGTTCATACAACAATGCAATGTCCAAAATCTTTCCAGCTGCCTTGGAGGAAATGATCCCTGGCTCACTTCTGAATATCGAGTGGCTGTGACTCTGCTGAAATGAGCTTCCTGCAGAGAGTAGCCTTCTTCCTGCTGCCTGCACCATTAAATCCTGGTAGGGTGTTTAGGCAGTATGTCTGCTAAAATATGTTCTGTTCTTGTACTCACTAACCACACGCTCCCATCCTGTGCTGAAGTTAAATCATTCCAGTTTGTCTCCTACACGGCTCAGGAATCAGCAGCCTAACCCTCCAGACATCACACGGCTTTGAACTGCACCTCTTGCTGAGCAAGGTTATTAACAAATGCTCTAAATCCAGAGTGCATGATAGATGTTTTTATCAGCTGTGTTGTATGGAGCCAGCAAAGCCCACAATATAATTCACCTTGAAGAGGAAGAGCTGAAAGGCATGTGACATAATAAACAAGGGTGGGAGTCAGGGGCTGGGAAGACGCCTGGCTCTGTTTCAGAAGTGCCACAACCTCTTGGAAGCATCAGAGAAGCTGAAAGCTTTCCATGTATTTTGGGTGCACAGCACAGATTAGGGAGGATCAATGTAGGCACTTGGGAAAAAATGGTCAGCCCTGCAGCTCTCTGACCAGGAAAATGGGAGATAAATAGGTTACTTTGCAGAGACACACAGCTTTGAGAAACTCAAATGCAGTAACTACAGCAAAGAAAGGCTTCTTGGGGAGGGAATAATGCACCGGGGCGGAGCAGGGCGGGGCGGGGCAGCGCTCCCGCCGAGGGAGCCGGGCCCGGCCTGAGGCACGGGCACTGCCCCGGGCGCGCTCCCGCGGCCGCCGGCGCGCACGCGCCACTGGGCGGGGCCGGGGCGTAGCTCAGACCCTGAGCGCCCATTGGCGGGGCCGAGCTGGGGCGGGGCCGCGGCTTGTCCCGGCTGGGGGCGGGGCGTAGCTCAGACCCTGAGCGCCCATTGGTGGAGGCGGACGGGGGCGGGGCCCGGGCGGAAGCGCCGCCCCGCGCGGGTTTCCCCACGGCGCCGCCGAGCGTTCCGCCATGGAGGGCCCGGGGTCGTGGTCGAGCTCGGGAGGCGCGGGGCGGCCGCTGACGGAGGACGAGATGGCGGAGGTGAAGAAGGACGTAAGTGGCGGGCCGGCCGGGCGCTGAGTGCAGGGGCCGGGCGCGGAGCGGCCAGTGGGGCCCGTGCGCGGGCGGGGGAGCGGAAGCGCTGTGGGAGCGGCGCGGGGGCGGCGGGAGGGACGGGCCGGGCCCGGCGGCGCGCCCGGGAGGGCGGCGGGGAATCTCGAGCACGGCTCTGCCCCCGGCGTGCCCCGGCTGAGGCTGGTCACGGCTCGCGAGCGCGTGTGGCGGGGCCCGGGCCGGCTCCCTGGCTGCGCCGCGGTGAAGCGCGGCTGGCGGCAGGGGTAACGCGGTACCCAAACCTGGCTGAAAATGTGTCTGCTGCTCCGGGTGCCAGGAGAACGCCTTCTCAGAAAGCGTGCGTATCTTCGTTAAGTGTACTTAGATGTTTTTTTGTTGAGGCTTATTGTTCTATATTTTTGGGGGGGTTTTCCCCTGTACTTATTCACTGATGTCTGGAGTCTGAGGGAAGACTTCATCCTGATTCATTCTGCATTAATTTATCTTAGCATGAGGCTGGGAAGCAATGCACTAACCAACCACAACAAGTGATTGCTTAATTAAAAAAAAAAAGTAAAATCACAGTTTATCACTTATTCATTGCCTATCCATGGTTCTGTTTGTAATTCACAGTGTCTTATGTTTGATTCATTGGGGGGTTTTTTATGTTCTTTTAAAGTGCAGTGGAGACTCCTTGCAGTTTGTTTTTTGTTTCTTTCTAGCTTTATGCTTAAGTGATTTCCTTTAAATGCTTTGTCATAGTTCTGTGAGACATGTTTTTCAAGCTGGTACTCGTTTCCACAGGCTAATACTGCAGTCGGTGCCATTGGGTAGTTACACCAAAAAAGGATACAAGCTCCTTGAGTCAGACACTGTAGGTGTAACAGGACAGGTGTGTTAGTCTGGGTCAGTGACTGAGCCCAGGGCTGCACCTCCCACAAGTGCATGATTGTCACTTCAGCCCTTGTCCTTACAGGTCCTCCCATTGGAGCAGAGAGGATGGAAATCTTAGGTAGAAACAAATAACAATCATTTTATCATCAAAATGCAGTCCCATAAAGCTGGCTTTAGAGCTTCTGCACTCAGATTTTAAATGTGGCTTCACAAGCGGCTTGGCTCTCTCAGGGCTGTTCTTTGGGTAACTTTGATGGGCTCTCTGCAAGCCAGGGTGCTGTGCTAGCAGAGGCACTGTGTGTGACAGGGGACAGCACAGCTCAGGAAGCTAAAACTGGCAAGGACAGCTTGGTCTGGGCAAGCTTGTCTTGAGGAGGATTTATAAGGTTTGGAGTCTTGCAGGTAAGAGCTGAGAAGGATGGGGGTGAGCCATATAAAATCATTCATACAGTGGAGTAGGGCTGCAAAAGACAAGAAGCAGCCACTCGTGTTGTTGAGATTACATACATTTATGGATGAAAGTGCCTGTATTTTGGATGTCAGTAATTTGTTGAACTTGTCGATAGTGTAAATAAATAGGTTTAAATTTTGTAAATAAATAGGTTTATTTACAAACCTTTTGAACTGTGAGTATATTTGTGCTGTTGCTTTGAGACTGCTTTTGCTCAATGTACAGAAAACATCAATAACTGCAGTGTTTTGGAGTTGTGCCTCAAGGATACAATGGTATGGAAATGTGGCAATCAGATGATCAGTGAAAAGGGGTGTATTTGTAGACAAAGTGAGTAGGTGCTGTTTGGTACAATTTCATTTTTACTTGACTGTTTTGAAATGTGCTAACCTCAGACCTTATGTAATCACATTTTCTATAAGTAGTCACCGTATTTCTTAACAAGCATTGGAACTCCTGAGTTCAGTCAAAGAGTTAATGAAAGTGATAATTATGTAACAGTTCTTTTAAAACATTTTTTACACTGAGAAAAATCTCAACTAAGTAACACAGCGGCAGCCTTAAAAATTATTTTGCTGACCTGTACCAAAATCATGTAGGTTCCAGTTACAGGCCTCTAAATAACTGGAAATGCTGGCTAATCCTAGTTTGTTTTGTCTTTCAGGCTTTAGAAAGGATGCGTCCTTACCTGTGTGATAAGATCATAGCTGAGAGACACTTTGATTACCTGCGTTCTAAGAAAATACTCACTAGGGAGGACACAGAAGAAATTTCTGCTCGATCTTCCAGTAGGAAAAAAACTGGGAAGTTACTGGACTACTTAGCAGAAAATCCAAAGGGACTAGATACTTTGATTGAATCTATCAGACGAGAAAGAACACAAAACTTCCTGTTACAAAAGATAACTGATGTAGTGTTGAAAGTCAAAAATGAAAAGCTTGAAGCTCTTAAAGGTAACAAACTTTTAATAATGTTGTATAAAACATAAGTTTTATTTGGAAGGTCTGCAAAATTAAAATCCAAAACTAAAGTCTTCCTCTGGTATTTGAAACAACATGTTTGGAAAATTACCAGTTTGGGTTTAAGATCCTAGTGCATGTATCCTGGCTTTGCCTTTTTACTATCTGAACACACCCATCATAAATAACAAGTAGCAAAAAAAACCCTGTTGTATTGCTATGATGGATGAATCTGTCTTCACATTTCAGTTTTGCTTTTCAAAAATGGGTGGTTATCGTCCATCTCGCATTTCTCTCCTGCTGCAGTGGCAGGATGCTCTGGTTTGGTTAAATTTTGTGCCTCAGCAGAAGGTATGCTGGCAAATACAGCTTGAGGGGAGTTCCCCTGTATGCCTTCGGTGTGTTTTTTCATACAGGCTCAGAGGTTTTGTTGACACTCAAACCTTGAAGGGACTGTGTGTACTCATATTTTAAGGCAGAGAAAGAAAGTATAGGCTTTGTACACCAAAGTGTTACTTCCCCTTCCACACCCATCAGAAGGCAGATAAAGAAGGAAGAAGTATGTTTTAACCATAGAGGTTAAGGGCCTGAGGTTTGCTCTGGCTTCAGGTAAAATAGCCTTCAAATGCTGTCCACTTTGGAGCAGAACCAGCAGGTGAAGCTCTTAAAAGTTTGAAGAACACAGTGAGAACAATCTAAAAAAAGTTGGGCCGAAGGGCTAAAGTGACTTTTTAAGATGAACTTTAAGTTACAGTGCATCTTTGTCAAGTACTATCTGGTACTGAGTACAGAGAAACCATTCACATCAGCCTAGACAACCTAACAAACCATGTTTGTTTTTTAATTTGTCAGGAATTCTGGATGTCACAGGTAAGATGAAGGGTTAGTCTGTTAAAAATACGAACAATTGATTTTTGACAGTCTTACTGATATTAAATCGGAGCACAGTTTAAGATGTCCCCATACTGTAATTAAATCCAGGATCTGGTTTTTTGTCTTAGGTTTAAGCTGCAGCACCTGTATGACCTCACTGTATGGAGGAACAAATAATCTTTCTAGATCATTTTCTGATGAATCAAATTTTCTGGATAAAACAAAAGACAAAGAATCTACCCAGATACATCACCCAGAAGAAGATTATAGCACGGCTGCATTTGTGTCTGCTGTCTCTCTTCATTCCATGAATTTACCAGTTGCAGAGATGGGCAATTCACAGTGCAGTGTTTTCTCAGCCACCCTGCCGGGGCCTGGAGACCCTGGTGCACCCCCGCTGCCCCCAGAGCTCCAGGAAGAGCAGCAAGAGCCATGTACCAGTTCAAGTGACAATTGCTTCTTGCCTTTAAGATCACGTTCTGTTCAACCACAGTGAGTGCGGTGACTTTCATCTGTTCATCCAAATGGTACTGAAACTTTGTGGGATGTCTCATAAAGGCTTAAAAATGTTTTCAAACTGTTAGGAAAATTGGAGGAAATCATCTATGCAATTTCTGTTTTAGTTTTGTAATTGTGTGATGCTGGAGCTGCTTGACTTTTTTTGTTTTGTTTGTTTTCTTCTTTAGGGAGCTTTTTTCAAAATATTGTGGTGTCATACCAACAAGTATTTGGTTTTTAAACCAATGTGTATAAGATGTCACATTTATTTGCGGATACTTTAGCTGGGATTATAGAACAAATGGGTTTTTTCTTTCTGCAGAAACTAACAAATCAGCTTTTCTTAATGTTTCTGTGAAGGGCGAACTGGGAAAGATGGTTAGGAAAAGTACTGAGTATGGAAAAAATCTGAACTAAAAACTTAAGCTTACTTACCAAAAAGCTTAAACTAATTTACCAAGTTAAACGTTTCTCACTAAGATAAATTCTGCTCTCCATGTATATGTGTGCTGCTCCGTTTGCCAAAAATGGCCAAGTCTGTGCTTGTTAGCAAGGAGTTTCCTCCTTGAGTGGACTGTGTCCTACTGGTACATCAAAAGGCATCAGTATTGCAAATACACTTCTGCAGGCCTCGGCGCATTCTTCTTGTATATTAGTTAAAGATTCCTGATTTGAGATGCACTTTAAATATAAATTCTCTTTAGTACTGGAAAAGGAATGTAAACTGCTCTAATGGCATTGTGAGGGCTGCAAGAAAACATTGTAGGATGCTATTAAGGAGCAAAGCTAGTATGCTTTTGTCCCTCTAGGGAAGTGGAGGAGAAGCTGTGTGGCACAAAGTATGACACCTGAAGGACTCCTGGAAATATGGCACTTCAAATACCTCCTCTTCCAAGCAGACAGACAGGTTTACATTTCCAATTGTTTAGAGTCAAATGCATTTTAAACTGTTTCAGCATGGGAAGGTTCTCATTTCTTGCCACAATGTAACATACTGTATTCCTCTCATACTCGAATTGTAGCCTACCTTTTGTGCAGGTGCCTATAATAATTTCAAAATGACCTGGTGGATTCTTAATTTGACATGTACAGCTGTGTTCTGCAGTACTACACCTTAAAGTGATGGGATGTTTTCAGTATATCAAAGGGTAGGTTTGTATTAAAGGTCCTACATTATACTGGCTCTCGTACTGTGTATAGCCATGGAATGCCATTCCAATGCACACTGGGGTAATATTGCTAAACTGCTCTCCTTTTGTGGAGGCAGGCCACCTGCAGGACCTCAGTATAGTCTCTATAAATAGTTTTTCTCTATTATTCTGGTTTTGGAAGTAGATTAAAATAAAATGCAATGTTCAACTACACTCCATCCCGAGTATATGAACATCTTACATGTGAGAAAGATGTGTTTATAAAAACCCTTGTTTTTCTTGTCTACATCTACCATCATATACTGTCCAGACACTGGAACTGCTTCGATTAAATGCCATTCTGGAAATTAAGTGCCTGAATATGCAAGCCAAACTTTGTTCTTTAACATGAAATTTAGGATAGGATGAACTCCCTCTCTTCCATTAACTTGAATTGTAGTTGCATGTACTTGGGACGTCTAGAAAGTGATTTGTGTAAATGCCCACTGTACCCACTTAAAGAGCTGTGCTTAGGCTTGAGTCCCTTCCTGGGTTCTTGTAAAGAGAAGAGAGTGAGCAGGGTTGGCCTTAACAGAGAAAATGCACCAGCCCAGGGTGGAGGCTGCCTTGCTGCTGCCCATCCTGCCCCGTGCATCCTGCAGGGACCACTCCCAGTGGAGCCGACAAACCTGAGACCTTGAGTGAATGTATTGTCTTTTCAAATGTCTATAATGTGCGTTTTTGAAACATATTTTTATCACAACTTTTGGAATAAATTCTTTTGTATAATTGCCTGTTTTTTGGTCTGCCTATCATTTTTAAGATGTACAGGTTGCAAGAGCAGTTCATGCCATTACCTTGATGTGTGGTTTTGGTTTTGTGTGTGTGGGAGGCTTTTGTTCTTCTTGTCTTTTTAGAGACATTTGTCTCTGGTGGAAAGACTGACTGAATGTGAAACGCCTGTGCCGGCAGGACTGCACTCAAGAGCAGTCTGTAAGGAAAACATGCATGTGAAATCAACAGCTCTGCTGCTTAAGTAGTTTCTGCAGTTCATGACTACTATTACTAACCTGATTCTTGCTTTTTTCAAATGACTCTATTGCTCAACTTCCTACGGATGTGAGAAGAGTTGCTTCCAGCCACCCACATCTTGATTTCATTCTTAAATTAAGATTTTTATTAATAGCAGGGGAGAAACAAAAACTTTGAGTGCTGAGAAGCATGACTTAAAAAAGGATTTGCAAATACTGCAGGCACTGTGGTGTCTCACTTCAGTGGTTGTTTTCATTGTACTTTGTGTATAGGGCTTCAAAATAATGGCATGGTATTGATTATGAGAGATTGGCTGGATATGGTTTAGTATCTTTACAGTGAAGGAAGTGACCGTAGTATAACCAAAACCCCTTCCTCAGATCTTACGCTGGTAGTATAAGTAGTTCTGGCAGTATAAGTAATCTGAACATAGAATCATGAAGTATGCTGAGTTGGAAGGGACTCATGAAGACCCCGAGTCCAGTTCCCAGCCCTGCACAGGACATCCCCAAGAGTCACACCCTGTCCGTGGGAGCGTTGTCCAAGCCCTTGTTGAACTCTGCCAGGCTGGTGCTGTGAGCACTGCCCTGGGGAGCTGTTCCTGTGCCCAAACACCCTCTGGGTGAAAAAGCTATTCCTGATACCCCTCCTCAACCTGCCCTGACCCAGCTCCATCCCATTGAACAGCACCAGTATTTTAGCTGATGCAGTAATGTATGTATGACTCCATCACGAGGGAGGTCTAGTACAAACTCGGTCCAACAAATTTGAAAAATCTGTTTCGGTAAAGATACCTCCTGACAGGTGATGATCAGCACTGTCTCTGCCCGAGGTCAGCCGGTGATCGGACTTTAAGGAAAACGTGTTTTCCCTCCGCTTAGGCCTGCAGGTGTGAAGAGGGAGCAATGAAGGCTGGCTCGGTCTCGTGCCTGGTTTTCGGTGTCCGGTCCCTCGAAGGCAGGGCCCCGGCTCCGCCTCCCGCGGGCTGCGCTCCCCAGCCCCGCGCGGGCCCCGGCCGGCGGCAGCCGCGGGCCGGAACCCTCGGCGCGGGCGCGGTTTCCGCGGGCGGTGCGAGGCGCGGCCCCGCCATGGCGGCGGAGGGGGAGGACCCGCTGGGCTATTTCGCGGCCTACGGCAGCTCCAGCTCCGACTCGGAGCCCGAAGAGCCGCAGCCCGACGAGCGCCCGGCGGGAGCCAGCGCGGCCTCGGGCGGCACCCCGGGGCGGCCGCGGCTGCCGCCGCCCGACGAGCTCTTCCGTCGGGTGTCGCAGCCGCCCGCCTTCCTCTACAACCCTCTCAACAAGGAGATCGACTGGGAGAGCCGCGTCCTGCGGGCGCCCGAGGAGGTGCGTGGGGCGCGGGTGAACCGGGGCGGCGCCGGGGCCGCCACGGGCCCCCCGGGCCGCTGTGACGGGCGCTGTGCTCTCTCCCGCAGCCCCCCAGGGAGTTCAAGGTGTGGAGGAGCAACGCCGTGCCCCCGCCGGAGACCTACAGCCCGCCCGAGAAGCCGCCGGCCCCCGCCCTGGACATGGCCATAAAGTGGTCCAACATCTACGAGGACAATGGCGACGACGCGCCCCGGCAGGCCGGCAAAGCCAAGTTCCTGCCGGACGAGGAGCAGGAGGCCCTGGAGTCGGGTGAGGCCCTGGCGGGAGGCGGCCGTGCCTCGGCGGGGGCTGTGCGCTGCCGGAGCGCGGCGGGGCGGGCGGGCTGCCCGGCGTGCCCCGGGCCCGGAGCAGGCGCTGCGGGCTGCTCCTGCATCCGCTGCTGCCCAGGGGCAGAGCGCTCCGGCTGCGGGGCTGGGTGCGCTGCCCGTGGTTTGGCTTTTCTGCGTTCAACACGGAGCCTCCCCTCTGCTCCTCTCCCCCGCTGGCATTAGCAGGGAAGCATTAGAGTCTGTGGCACTGTAGTTCCGTGAAACCAACAGGTTCAGTCACGCTGCTGCTAAAACAGAAGGTGGTGTAAAAGCTTCAGGTGCTTTACACTGAGGTGTTGACCTTAGTTGTAGATGTAGGTCAGACTATTTCTATAACGTTTGCAAAACTTGGGTTCCAAAAGAGGAATTATATAGGATGCCCAAGGGATAGATTACTGAAGAAAATAGTTACTATCTTCTTCACTTTCTATGATTGTACAAGCTGTAACAGTAATTTAGGAAGTAAAGAAATATTTGATAGGTGGGAGGATTTTTTTTTTAATTGTTGGAGAAAGAGAATAGCCAACAATAACCAAGAGAAGAGAACAAGAAGAAGAAATTCTGGTCTTTCAGAACACACAATAATGTCTTCATTCATTGGTAAAGTTGCCAACAAAGCTTTTCCAAAAGAAGGATTTTTTTTGCTGTCTTGCCTCTTTTTTGGTTCTGGGTGTTCTTTCCCAGTAGCAGTTTTTATGTCTTTCTCCATGTGTTCTATGTGTTTCCCCGTCCACGCATTTCTCTTAGTCAGCCTTCATCCAGAGGAAGAAGATAAAACGTTAATTAGCATTATTTCCTGCTTCAAAAGTGTCATTTTCTAGCTTTTAATAATTTGTTTAGAACAGGTGCTGTACAGTAGCATAAAGCCTCTTTTCAGTTACCTGCAGTGGTTTGTGGCAGTGATAAGAAGTAACCTTTCCTGTTTTGTCCACATATTGTCTGCATTCCAAAAATGAGGATGCTACAGTGTCTTTTTTCCAGCCATCTCAGATGTGGTTAAGTCAGTTGTTCTGAGACAGGATGGTGTTTAAGCAAAAAACTGGCTTTGCTGACTTTGATTAACCCTTTGTTTTATTTAAAGATGGTGAAAAAGACGATGAACCAGCTTCTGCTAAGAAACGTAAAGCAGAGTCTGGAGAACAGGCAAAGAAGAAGAAGAAGAAGGTATAAGCAGGGCATTTTGGATTGAGACATAATGAGAATTTCAGGGAACTTGGATTCCTCTGCTGGAATGGGAAACAAATACGTGTTTACTGCATTTCTCTCTCGGGTAGGGAATTTTATTTCTGTGTATGCTTGCCTTTTGGAAAGCACAAAATTAAGTGGACAGTGTTGTCGTAGAACTTGTTTACTGAACAAAATTTAAACCTGTTTATTTGAAACAAGGATTTAGATGAAAGATCCATTGCCATGGATACTTGTGCTCATGCAGGTTACAGGGCTTCACAGTATTTTGTTTATCAAGAAACCTGGTAACATGCATTTTTCTGGACTGACTTTTCCATTGTGTCAAAACCTTTTATAAAGGAGTATATACTAAAGATTTTTTTAGGTACTGGTCTGTGATATGTTCACATAATGTTGTTTTTAAATATATGTATAGACTGCAAATAGTCACTGGAATAAAACTACATTTGAAAACATCTGTGGTATAAATATTGCATTGCATGCTGGGTGAATAGGAGCAATGAATTCTGTATTATATGCCATTCACTAATGTGTGACTTAACAGATTCCTCAGGGCTTTTTTGTTTAAATAAATACAGAACTACAAACTGAAAAAAAAAATGTACCTAAAATTGAGTTTAATATTTCATCATTATTTTGATGTTACGGGATCTCCATCAGTGAAACGAGACCAACTGATGGAGGGAGGATTGAAGCATGTAATGTGTTCTTCCTGAAACAGAAAATAGAATCAAGATATTTATGTGGACAAAAATTATGACAAAGCTGTGGTAGAGTCTTTGCTGCCAAATTGTATTTATTTCAGTACAAACAGTTGGTAGTCTTCTCAAAGTGCTAGCCAGTATATGTTGCATTTGTGGTATGCTGCTGAATGGGTTTTTGGGTCTGTATATGACAAGGTACCAGCTTGTGCTGGATTGGAGAAAAGGTTGCTGTATATTTTCAGATAAAGATTCTGTGCCTTAGAAAATCTGCAGTGAGATTAGTGCCTGCTAATAGAAGTTCATGTAATTAAATTGTTAATGTAAGAAATTTGTGTTTTCTATTTTCCTTCTGTCTTGGACTAGCTTTACTTTGGCAGAACAGATTCTGTATACATATGTGCTAATATAATGTTAATATTTTTAAAGTGATTTTAAGAGTTTTTTTAACCCTTCAATATATAGAAAAGTGTATTCATTTTCAGTGAATATATGAAGTTGTTAAGAAGTTATGCAATTCTAGCCTTGGCAGTGTGATAATTCTTTCTCTGGATCCTTGTCTGCCTGCAGACTCTGCAACTGCTCCTTGCCTGTTTCACAGGCTGTGGGGCCAAATCTGTGATACTTGACACAGCTGAGGGCTCCCTGTGCCCACCTTTCCTGGTGCAAACCCAGACACCAGCCACTGTCCTAGCAAGCTCCAGGATGAGGGATCCTGTCATGGCAAGGCTTATGGAGTGCCAGCTCTCTAGGGTTTCTCCAAATACTCCATCTGCATTTTTGAGTCTTACAGTAGTTGTGTTTGCTAGTGCAGTGCTCCTTGAAGAGTATTACAGCTGAAGGCTAATGTCACCAGCTCTGGAAACAGGATGCATTCCCATGACTGCTGTGACCAAGGAGGCTTCTGTCCATTTATTTTTTGCTATTCCACAGGGCAGCTCAGGAAGTTACTGTGCCAATTGCTCCTTTTGTTTTCAGACCATATGATATACGTAGTGTCCAGTTTTCTTGAAGTTAACACCATTTGATACTCACTTTCCAAGGAGAAAACCAGCATATCTAGCCTGGGAGAAGAACAATTGTATTTTTTGCAGGTCAAGGGAATCTTCATGGCAAGCAGAGACCATGGCAGCTTCCCTGTTCAGGAGAAGTGGCACAAAAAATTCTTAACCTT